AATATTACTGTTTTTACTGCATTTTTCATCAAATAAATGCAGCTTTGGAGAGCATAAGAGACTTCCTTCAAAAACAAAAAAAAAACCTTACTGACCCTAAACTTTTGAATGGTAGTGTACAAGTTATTATGACTGGAATGTTTTAAACAGGTTTCATATGATTCGACCCAACTCTTCATGCTCACGCTCATTTTTCCTCCACTTTCCTCTACAGACAGAGGTTTCCAACTGGACAGGAACGATCGTGCTGCTCCTCATTAGCGGTTTCTGCAACTTTGCACAAAACATGATCGCTTTCAGTGTGCTGAACCTAGTCAGCCCACTCAGTTACGCCGTAGCCAACGCAACAAAGAGGATCATGGTCATCAGTATATCCCTACTGATGCTCAGGAACCCCGTCAACACCTCCAACATTATCGGCATGATGACAGCAATACTAGGCGTCTTCCTCTATAATAAGGTAATTTACACATGTCTTAGAAATAGTTTTTTTCAACCACAAATGAGGAATGCAAAAACTGATGTCAGTTGAAATACCATTGCTTTTCTCACCAGGCGAAATACGATTCCAACCAGGAGGCCAAGAAGAAACTGCTGCCAGTTTCAGCACAGGATATGGTTTCATTGGACAAACCCCAGTCCAACGGCTCCGGGCCCTTCGCTCACAGCTCAGACTTTCAGCACGGTCGGAGCACAGTACTCACCGACCACTTTCAGTACAGCCGGCAGGCCTACACAGCAGATTACAGCTCCAAGCAGTTTGTTGTGTGAGTCGAACACTTTGGAGGACTATAAAGACTGGTCTCAGACCCCCTGGCTTCAGAGGAGATGGGTGAATCTTTCATACGGACGAGGAAGTGTCGGAATAACTGGAAAAGGAATGTTTACTCACAAAATCCTACTGCTTTTTTTTTCACAGGCCTGTTATTTATTTCATTACAAACCCTATTTTGGTTGTTTTCCTATTTAGTTCATGAGGAAATTCTCAGTGGTATGTGCAGATTTTTGCAGATTATTATAGGAAGGTGCTGGGATTTTTTTTTGGATCAAGTTTTTGTTTTTGCACAGGGTGCATTTCAGTGCAGTTCAGAATGTAATATGTCTGTGTCGTCGTCATGCTAATGCGAGTGAGAGACAGACAGACAAACAGCGAGACCTCTTCCATATAACATACACTGGGTCACTGCAAATACAAGTGCATCAGGGTATTAGTCAATGTTCTGGTTTTGCCTTTTATTTGTAAATATTTTATTTATTTTTATAGAGGAAGGTGTATTGGTTGACCATATCAAAAACTGAAAACACCCCATTGATTTTTTTTTTTTTTTTTTTGGAATGTCTAATATCTGAAGGAATCACTTTTTTCATTCTGGGGGTGTTAAATCAGACAGGTCACTGTACAAGATCTCTTGAATCGTGGTTCATGCATTCATATGTATGATTATCATTTTTTGCATTTTTATTTTATTTTTACTGATATGCAGACAGGGGAATTAGAATTACCATACAATGGCCATAACTTATGGCTCAGTTTAATTAATATTAAATGTCTAGGAAGGGAAGATGGGGGATTCATAATGCAGTTTATTTTATTTCTTTGTTTTCTGGAAATTGACATTCTGTAAGTTTAAATTTGTCTCAGTCCCTCACAATAAAAAGTTTGAGGACACTGTTTCAGAACTGTTGATTCTTTGACACTGAACTCCATGAGAATGGTCTTGTTAAAAGGTGCAATATTCCAATCATGACATCCGGAGGTGTTTCAAGCTCTTTTAGGGTGTAAAACCTGTAGTTGCAAGAATCTGTGGACTAATTTTTTGGGGGGGAATGTGATCAAATTTGTTAAATGGCGCAAACTAGCCATCTAGAAAGAGATCTGCGGCTTGGAGCCTATTTTAGATGTTACTGACCAGTTATCGTCTTCGTTCCCAAATTTATGCCAGTTTTAGCAAAATGTCTGAGGTGGGGGATTAGTTTAATATTTGTAAACTAGCTGTTTTTTCCCCTCTCTTTCTCCATTTCTATTTAACAAGTGTCTTGCTGCTGGAAAGTTAGACTTTTTTTTTTTTTTTGGCAAAAAGCATGCATGTGTTTGCATAACTCTGCAATGAGAAAAGAACTTGGAGTTCTTTTAAATATTTCAAGTGTTACGGATTTTAAATAGCATCATGACATATTTCATGTTGTGTATTTTGAACGACTCCGTCTTTATGTCTCTCTAGATATTGTGAATTTATTAGATCAGTTCAGGCAGATGAAGTGGTTCATTAACTGATATTGTAGCTTGAGCAGCCAAAAAGGAAGGCTATGGGTGTGCTCTCTTCCTTCTGCCTGTTTTTCATCGGTTGAAGCCTTTTGTTCTCACTTTGTGACATCGCTAGTGTGCCAATTCGCTTCTCAGTGCCGATTTCTTCTCCCTGATTCTTACTGCTTTTAGGTGACTGGTTGTAATCTGTACAAGAAACATCGGGCTGATGTATAGCATATTCATTAACCAGACATTGTGTGTAAGCACTGGACTCCCAATGTCTCAAAATGAAAGGGATTCAAGAAAGCATCTTTTTTTTTTTTGTATTACACAGTAAGTAATTGTAAACTGAGCCTAAACCCTGAACTCAGCTCAACAGTACCAATATTGCAGTGATCTTACCTTCCCATTCAGAAAATCATGCACTACTGTAGTACTTGATGTTTTTTTTTTTTTCAGCTTCAGTATCTTCAGGCTCTTCAACCCCTCCCCATGTGAGATTGATGCGTCTCTGTAATCTGACAGTCATGTTGCGTCATGTTAATTGGGTTTTTTCGTTTGTTTTTCTGTGGTGTGGAAATGCATTGTCACTCTCTGTATTGAGATTGTTTTACTTTCAGCCAGTGTTTATATATTATTTGAGTTTTAAGATGCCTTGGTACGGTTAATGTTGCATTTTTTTTCTTGTCAACTTAAAGTTATAAGATGACTTATTTTGAAATGTGAAAATAAAGAAGATTAATTGATAAAGTCTTGATGTACTATTTGCTTAGGTCTGCAAAATTCAATTTAGGATCTAAAAATGTCTCGTTTCTAAGCATAACTTTGTGAACCTCACTGTAGGGAGAATATTCAAACAACAAGAAAATAACATTGACCCTTTTGTTGTTAAGAATAGCTCATTACGGTTTAAAACCTCATAAAAATAATTATATATTCTTAGTTCTAAATTAGAATTCTCAAATGTAGTTCTACAATGTATGTGTAAAAGTGAACATGGGAAAAGGGTTCAAGCTACTTTACTACGGTGACGCATTGCTGCCACACACATTTTTTTCCCCACTCAATTATGTCGTAATAACGAGATATGTCTTTTTAACGACATCTTTTCTCGTTTTAACGTAATCTTTTCTCGTTAAAACGACATAACTGAGTGGAAAAAATATATATACAGTGGTGTGAAAAAGTGTTGGCCCCCTTCCTGATTTCTTATTTTTTTGCATGTTTGTCACACTTTAATGTTTCAGATCATCAAACAAATTTAAATATTAGTCAACGATAACACAAGTGAACACAACATGCAGTTTTTAAATGAAGGTTTTTATTATTAAGGGAAAACAAAATCCAAAACTACATGGCCCTGTGTGAAAAAGTGTTTGCCCCCTAAACCTAATAACTGGTTGGGCCACCCTTAGCAGCAACAACTGCAATCAAGCGTTTGCGATAACTTGCAATGAGTCTGTTACAGCGCTGTGGAGGAATTTTGGTCCACTCATCTATGCAGAATTGTTGTAATTCAGCCACATTGGAGGGTTTTCGAGCATGAACCGCCTTTTTAAGGTCATGCCACAGCAATGTAGTTTTGGATTTTGTTTTCCCTTAATAATAAAAACCTTCATTTAAAAACTGCATGTTGTGTTTACTTGTGTTATCTTTGACTAATATTTAAATTTGTTTGATGATCTGAAACATTAAAGTGTGACAAACATGCAAAAAAATAAGAAATCAGGAAGGGGGCCAACACTTTTTCACACCACTGTATGTGTGGCAGCAATGCGTCACCGTAACTTTACACAGGATTCCTTTATATAAAAAAAACACTAAGGAAAAATCACTTTATACCTACCTATAACTTTATAATCACTTTACACTTTATACTAAGTAATTATTTTTATTTATTTATTTTAATTAACAATTGGTCACACTTTTGCTTGTGTCTCAGGATATAAACTAAATCCTTCTTGTCTACAATTCTGTGACTTTGGATATAAAAAATTATAGATTTACTTTTTTTCCCACAAAACTTAGTCCTTAATGTACATTCATCTTCCAGAAAGCCATTCAGCAGATATAAAAATGTGTATCTTGTGAGCACAACAACTAAAATCCAATGAACTAAGTACAATTGGACAGTGGGCTATTATGAGGACACATCATAGGCACTTTCATTTTCTTAGGGAAAATATCAACTGTTGTCGAGAAAGATACTTTGACCACAAAAAAAAAATGTGCAGGACATCTAAAGGACTTATTCATTAGCTTTTTTACGTTCTCCACAAATGTGACTTAAATACCGATAACTGCTGCTGTTTGCATTAATATTTTATGTTTACAAGAAGAAAAAAGCCACAAAAAATTGGTGATTTTCCTTTATGATCGACAGAGGGAGACAAAGCTCCGTCTGCCTCTCCATCACTGTATACATGTGAGAGAACAGCACTGTCAGCCTCACACAGACTATAAAAGCAATATTCAAAATGTAAAATCTTCCCATAATTTATAATTAAATATTTATATTAAATTAAACCATTACTCAAGTCACCAATAAACAAAACTATCCATGTTCCGAGGCAATACAACTTCTCACGTCTGTTTTTTTTTTGGTTAAGAAGTGGTTTAATGTAATGCATCTTACAGCCTCCTGAGACCAGCTGATAGGCCTATTATGTAAATGCGGAGTTGCCCACTGGATTTGCCTTCATTCATCTCTAGAGTACTTCCTGCTTGTAACAGGTTTGAGTGGTCGCTCATCTGCGCTTCAGGAAACTGCTGCAGTCTGCCGCTCTCTTCAGCTCAACTCACATACCATCAAACTTTGGAAATAAAACACATGGTAAGGCCAGCTTGATTCTCTTTTAGCGAAATTACCTTAAATAGGTATTTTCAAGCCTCCTATAGAATTATTAGATGACTGCTGAGGAATCAGTTCATTCTGATAGCCTACTGATATCCTAAAGTTGGTCAGACATGAAATTTAAATGTTAAATGTTAAGTTGTATTATTATTATTGTTGTTGTTACAACCTTTTAAAAAGCAGGCCGTAGTGCGCAGGCTCTGTCTCAAAACATAGTTTTTGGTCACCATCCACATCAGCAGACGAGACCCCAAAATACTGCATGCGTGCTGTTTAGTTCTTCAGAGACCTCTCTCTCTGTTTTGAGACACAGTAAAACTTCTTCTGAACCGAGTGTGCTGAGAAACACTCTAAGCATGCCTTTTCTTAACCTAAATCACCTTTAACCCTAAAGTAGCTCATCCTGCGTTGTCTTGTTTCATGATGTTTTGGTCACACTTTATTTTAAGGTTCAATTCTCGCTATTAACAAACCATTAACTACGACTTTTGCCTCAATAAACTCCTAATTTATTGCTCTTTAATAGTTAAGGTAGTTGTTAAGTTTATGTATTGGGTAGGATTAGGGATGTAGAATATGGTCATGCAGAATATGTGCTTTATAAGAACTAATAAACAGCAAATATGTTAATAACAGGCATGCTAATAAGCAGCTAGTTAATAGTGAGAATTGGTCCCTATACTAAAGTGTTACCTTTTTCTTCTACACTGAATACCTTTCACACATTTCAACTTCCTTTCAAAATGTGAAATATCACTTAGCCTAACCCTGAGTCGAAATGTAGCCTAATGTGAAAGCCTGTAAAGATGTGCTTTCCTTGTATCTTTTCACACTCTGCAGGGCAGAGTATCAATAAATTGATATCTGGATTTGTTTAGTGTATGCTACGCTTCGAGTAGAGAGAAATTAGACCAACATTTTGTGTTGATATAGTGTCATAACAACAGAAAGGTTTATTGTTCATTGTGTACTGTAATAAATCAACATCTTGTGTATTGATGCAGTTTATCAATGGACAGCAATGACCATAGACTACAGATTCTCTGATTAGTGGTCAATCATTATGGGTTTTTCTGATTTTTAAAACTAGATTTTAGTAATAATCGCATGCCTCAACTGAAGACTTCTCACCAAAATTCTCATAAGAATGAAAAAGGAGTCTCTAAAATTAAGAACGATAACTTTAGCGTGATTTTAAAGCATGGATGATATAATTGTTTGGATTGTGGCAAGAACAGATAAAACAAAGCTTTCATTTTTCTTTTGTCTCTGACACGGGTTGCGTTTTTAGCAAAGCATGCAGCTGACTGGCTCACTTTTGACTGTCATCTCTATGACAACCACTGCTGAATGATGTGCTGTGCAAAGGTGTGTGGTTGGAGACACTTCCTGTGCCTCACTATTGTTCTGAATCTGCTGCTCACTTCTTAAACAGTTCATGACAGTTCATTATCTTCCCCGCAACGTGTGATGTCTTTGAGTTATTCTTTCAAAACACAACGCAGATTGACAGATGCATGCTAAATCGTAGAAAATTATGTATGCACTCAACATTTGAGGAAGAAGGTAAACAAACTAGCGACAATCAAAGCTCAGTCCTACTCAGGGTACGAGATGCTGTGATGACAATGTGTGGTCTGAGGTCTATTATAGTCCATTCTGCCAACACCATAGCGATGGCATACTTCTGCTAAAAACTTCTGCCTTCCACAACTGATTTTGATCAATGCCTATTTTTGGACAATCAACAATGTATTCTATTACAGTTAAGTCCTCTGAGCAGGTTTCAGGTTCAGTTAGTTAATCTCTATCGATAACATCTGAGGCCCTACTGTCGATTACCACAGAAAATCATTACAACCCGTCACAGAGTTCGTAAAGACAAGCAAAATTGCAAAATAAGAATGTGATTACAATAAAGGCAGTCTAAGTTTTTGGTTTAAGATGGTGTTTAAACAAAGAGGCAACAATTTACCTCCGTAATTTGAGTGAAACAGTTATTTGAATAATCAAGTAGCCTATTCAAAAATTATTGCCCACTGTCAGTAGTGTAGCGATGTACGAAGTATTGCTCACTTTACGCGAAATTACAGGTAATGCAGGTTCCTACTGAAATTAGTGGATCTGATGTCATTCAAAACGGAAAATTCATTTAGGAGATTCTAAAAATGTTTACATTTTTTTTTTTACCTCAGAAAAACATTCATGAATTGTTCACAAGAATGTATATTTAAAAAGTAATGAAATATTTTTTGTTAAAGTGCAAAGAGCTTAATGTATTTTGAACCTCGGATATTCCTTTAAAGGGGTCATATGATGTTGTTAAAAAGAACATTATTTGGTGTATTTGGTGTAATGAAATGTGTTTATGCGGTTTAAGATTCAAAAAACACATTATTTTCCACATACTGTATATTATTGTTTCTCCTCTATGCCCCGCCTTTTTGAAACGCGTCGATTTTTACAAAGCTCATCGGTCTGAAAAAGCGAGGTGTGCTGTGATTGGCCAGCTATCCAGTGCGTTGTGATTGGCCGAATTCCTCAAGCGTGTGACGGAAATGTTACGTTCCTACCATATTGTGATGCCTGCGGCAACCACATGTGACGACCCCGGGCTGGACTCCGCTTCGTCCACGGTTAAAAGCCGATTCGGCAATCCACAGCGCGAAGTTGTTGTATTTCCTCAGTGACCAGCACGGATCAGCTCCAGGCATGACGAAGCGATATCGTCCTCTTTTGGAAGACCAAACAAAGTAGTTTCGCTTTCACAACGAATCACACAGCGCCTTCACGACATGGCGGCGGAAACAACAAAACTACAGCGAGAATAAAAGTTACGCCTTCTTTCTTTGCATGAACATTTGGGCTGCGTTATGCAAATCTTCCCACATAGTGATGTAGACATGTGGGGGCGTGTTAGAACGAGCCATTTTAGGTAGGCGTGGCTGACTCTTTAACTTTTATAAAGAATATCTCTTTGGATTTGAGACTTTAGTCTTTGCAACTTTACAGATCTTCTTTATGCACCAAGAGCTTGTAACACTCCAAAGAGAAAGGAAAAATTGAAATCGCATCATATGACCCCTTTAAATGTTTTCTTCTGTGTGTCCTTCACAGTTCTTCTGTAGTGGTTACTCAAGTCAGACATTGAAATGTGATATTTGTTGGAATTTTTTTTTTTTTTAAGTTCACACCTGCTCTGTAGCCTGCATGCACACTTTTTTTTGTTAATATTGTGTGGTAAAGCACCCACAAGGTCAAATGATGTTTAGATGGATGTTTATGTGACAGAAGCCATTAGAGCTACAAACGGTGTCATGTACTCTTTGGCCCAGTTTCTTTCAATAGAAACACAGCACAAACCAGCGGCAAACACGACATCAAAACATCTAACTGCAAATGATTAACTCTGAATGGTAATTTCCTTCACCGTGTTCATCTACTACTGATTGAAGCATATTCCTTTTATATATATATTTCATTTGGATTAGCTGAGAATGCTTGACATGAATACTATCCAGAGTAAAAACTGTCACACTGCTAGTATGTTAAACTGTAAAAAAGAAAAAATGTGAAATCTATACGGTAAAAAAGGCAAGTGTAGTTGAACTTTACTGTAAAACATATGGTAGCAACATTTTAAATATTAGAGATATCCAGTTAAATAAAAAACATGTTTCATGAACTTAAAAAGTGTTAATATATTACTAAAATATGTGTTTTATCTTTATAATATGTTGGCAACCACCTTAAAAACACAGGCGATAAAGAGAAAGCCACATGATTAATCAGAGTTCATCACAAGTAGTTTTTCCATAATCTGAAGTAGATACTAAGTAGTACACAATGTTATACACACAAATACAAAACAGCATTATGGTAACACACGACACTAAAATAATAAACATTTGTGACGACTGGGGGCGGGAGCCCCTCGCGGACGACTGCCGCACACAAAACACAAAATAAAGTCCAGGCCTGGTCCTCTCTCGTCTTTCACTGTCGTCACTCCTCCTTTTATACTTCCGGAGCTCCTCCGTGGGACTCGAGACCGGTGAGTGGTGCAGGTGTCGCTCATTATCAATTACTCCACCGGCTCTCGGCCCCGCCCCCACTCGTCACAACATTAAACAACATAAAATGTAACCCTAATGTTCATAACTGATAACAAGAAACTAAGAAGAAACACTGAACCATCACATGTGATCTGTCACACAGAGGATTCAGGAAATGTCAATTTACGTTTTTTCACTGTAAATTATAAGATGACTGGCAGTAACAGTATAACTTTTAACAGTATTTTACTGTAAAAATGCATGATATGTTGCATTAGATTAGTTTTTACATTTAAGATAAAGCACACCCGTGCCTTTGAATAGTTTGAGAGCTCAGATGAGAATTTATTTTATTTCTTTACAGGAGGAAAATGTGGATGTAAAGGCCCTCCGGGCCAAATTTCACGCTCAGTTAGAAATGGCAGCTTCCGGAGGTGGGTCCCCCATCAAACCTCATACGGTTGGTGCGCTGCCAGAGTCTCTAACCAATGGAGCTCTCCGAAACAAGACTTCAGCTGTGCCTCCAAGACCAGCCTTTCCTCTGAACGCTCATAGTGAACCAGAGATGTTTCATTCGGGTCCTCAGGGAGTCTTCCCAAGACCTCCTCCCTCTCATCGTTTGGGAGCCCAGGAGAGTCCTAAAACGCCCCCTACGGAGGTCAACGTGCCGAGCAGAGTCAAGCTGACAGGAGAACTTCTTCAGCGCAAGATACTTCATCAGCACAGCGACATGAAAGTTTCTTCAGCGTTCAAAGCACCCCTGCCGAGCCAGAGGAGCGTGTCGGAGGTAGTACCGCTAAGAAAGCCGCTTCCCAATGTCGGGCCGCGACCATCAAAACCAAAACGCCCTCCGTCTGTAAACCTGAATCATTTGCGAAAAAAAGCCCCTGTTGTTCTTCCCAAAAGAAACATAGATCTCCAAAGTTCTAAAGGTAGGAGCCAAACAAATGCCTTTCCAGTCTTTTACTGCATTCAAATCAGTAATACAAATACATCACTCATCAATAAATATTTGCATTTATATGACCTAATGCAGTGGTTCATGTTAACTGTTGTTCATAGACTTTTTCCATGCCATGTTAGGCGAGACTTGTGTACGTAACAAGAATTAACAGGAAAATGTGATGTTTTATTTAGTATTTATGGTGTATTTTGTGTAGGACCAGCACGGCCACCAAACAAACCCAGCCTGTTGACATCATCGTTTTCAGAATTGTGAGTAATACGTGGTTGTCTATAAGTAGTTGCCAAAGTTTGGAAGAGAAGGGGAAGGAAACTGTAACACAAATTACATGTCGTTTTTTCCACATCTGATCTGTATCTCTAAATTATAAAGAGGAATAATTTTGAATTGCACCAAACAACATCTTGCATTCGTACGTGCATCTTACAGTGCGATCTTTCACTCTGGAAGTATGTGGGTGTAATGCACGCACTGTGGCATTTCCTGACTCTTTTTGTAGATTCTTATGAAAGCAGCTCAGATAGCATGTATTGTGTGGCGTAATGGTTATTTTTAATCGCTGTTGGGTATGTTTGCTGTTATTGAGTCTGATAGGGCTAGTATGTAATCTAACTCTCATTTCCATGTGTTGTGTGGATCAGAAACGTGGACCACCAAGAGGACTATGATGACATCAGCGCACTCCCACCACCTCCTCCCACACCTCCCAAGCCAAGAGGTAAACGTGAATATAGTTTTCACCTGGTGGGTTATAAAGCAGACGAAAGAATCTCGTAGATTTACACTGAGCAACCCAGCCTTATCTAAAGATCAGACTATCATAGAGACGTGAGGGAGGGCTTTTTTAACTCATGCCTGTAGGAAACCACATAGCAGTGAGCTAAAAAAAAAAAAAAAAACCCATAGCAGTGCCCACACCACAAAGCAGTGCCCTGGTGACCATTCACAGCAACCTAGCACTATGGTGGACTTTTGCCTGGGCAATGTGACCCTGGACCACAAAACCAGTCATAAGGGTCAATTTTGTGAAATTGAGATTTATACATCATCTGAAAACTGAATAAATAGTTGATTTCAATTGATGTATGGTGTGTTAGGATAGGACAATATTTGACCGAGATACAACTATTTGAAAATCTGGAATCTGAGGGTGCAAAAAAATCAAAATATTGAGAAAATCGCCTTTAAAGTTGTCCAAATGAAGTTCTTAGCAATGCATATTGCTAATCAAAAATTAAGTTTTGATATATTTACGGTAAGAAATTTACAAAATATCTTCATGGAACATGATCTTTACTTAATATCCTAATGATTTTTGGCATTAAAGAAAAATGGATAATTTTGACCCATACAATGTGTTGGCTATTGCTACAAATATACGCCTGCGACTTATGACTGGTTTTGTGGTCCAGGGTCACATATACTCTAGCATTTGTTTCAAATGTTTTTTTGTTTTTTTCTTTTCTAAATGAAGCAGACGTATTACCATAAAAAGACATTCACTGTTTTTGTCTTCTGATATTGCAGACTCATGGACTGACAGTTTCCCTTCTCAGCATGAGGTCGGTCTGTTGGGTTAATTTTGTGTTTATGTGTTTCAGAACAAGTAAAAGAGAGGATGTATGTTTAAGGGTCAGTGGTTTCAATCCTTTGACATGCTTAGCATGTGTTCTAATGTGTTTTTTTATTGAGTTGTAGGACAGCGATCAAGAAATCTATGAAGACCCAGACAGGTAAGTCATATCAAAGTTCCCTTCCCAGTCCACCCAGACCACTGTTAAAACTAAACTGCAACAATGGCTTGTTCAGAAATTTGCATGATTATGATGCCCTAAACATGAGCACATTAACACTGCATAGCTTGCTCTATAATAACAGAGTTATTTGCATATAGAAATATGGTACCTAGAAACATGATACATTGATACAGTTATTAGAGGATACTAATAAAGTTTAGTTTAATAATATCAAGTGTGTGAGCTCATTTCCCCTATTTTACATTTAGATATGTAACCTAACACTCACTTAAACTGTTAATCTTTATAATTTAATAAAAATGTTATATGTAATCTTATTAGCAAATATAAAAATGAATATCTAATTTTTGTACTGTGCATTATAATGTGATGCTAAATTCATTTGTAGCATTTAAAACTATTTTAGTTTTTAGTGTTTTATTTTTAATTTCCACTATACTTTTCAAAATTCGGGGGCCAGTAAGATTTTTTATTTTTAAATGTATTAATAATTTTATTCACCAAGGAGGCATTAAATGAATGAAGTGACAATAAAGAAATTTACAATTTTAGAATTTACAATTAAAAAAATTCTAATTCAAATAAATGCTGTTCAGTTTTAACTTTCTATTCTTGAAAAAAAACGTGAAAAAATGTATCAGTTTCCACAAAAAAAATAACATAAATAATAATAATAATAATAAAGAGGAAAGAAAAGCACAAATGTTTGCAGCATTGATAATAATAATAATTTTTTTCGAGTGCAGCAAATCAGCGTATTAGAATGATTTCTGAAGGATCGTGTGACATCAAAGGCTGAAGTAATGATCATCACAGGAATTAATTACATTTAAAAAAATATTAAAATACAAAATAGTTAATTTAAAGTGTGATCTTTCACAATATTGCTGTTTTTACTGTTTTTTCATCAAATAAATTGAGCCTTGATGAGGATATTCCAAACTTTTGAAATGTAGTGTATTTAGACAAAATAGTTTAGAATTTTACATTTGGGGAATTATGGGTTATTGGCCATAAGATTAAATTAATTACTGGCTTATTTTATCGGCTATAATTTTACTCTCTGTGCATAGAAGTTTAAAAAGTACAGTAGCAAAATACTGTAGCCTGGTTGATCAAGCAAAACTGAATTATAAGTACAAGAAATCTTGACTATTATTATAAATACATTCTATAATGTATCAGTTAATGGAATAAAATCTCTCTTGTTATATCCATATGTTGTAGCCACAGACTGCAGGATTGTCACTTAAATGATAATATCTTTAAAAGAAAAGGTAAATGAACAGGGACTGTTAAACTCTAAAAACAGCAGTGTGAACATTCATGAGAATTTCTCTTTTTGGTTTCCACTGAAGAAAGAAAGTCACTCTGGTTCCTTTAATTTCAACTGTATTTCTGTATGTTGCAGACCTGTTCCTACTGAGAGGAAAGTATTGAAAGAGACTAAAAAGACCGAGCTGGACAAGAAAGAACTGAAGGAAAAGCAGAAGTGGGAAAATGAGTATAGAAAAAAATTTAAGGTAACCCTTTTGTATATGTTGAAGCTAAAAAAGGATATCATAAATGTGGTTCTATGTCTTTTTGCCTGATTCCTACAGATATTAACATGTTAATAATTGTGTTTGCGTGCATAGCTGAATGGACCTATTGAGGTGATCCACATGGCTCGTGTGAGAGAGGACTGGCAGGGCGGTAAGAATGACCTGACTGTGCGACAGGGAGAGAACGTGGAGATCATCCGTGTGAACAACAACCCTGAGAGGAAATGGCTGGCACGAAACCTGAGGGGCAGCAGTAAGTCAAATACGCTCAAGTTCTAACTGTGACATGCTGTCGATTACCACAGAAAGTCGTTTCGACTAGTTCCTTAGTTTCCGAAGACAAACGAATCAGGTTTACAGCAATGCACTTACGACAGAAGTCTATGATGCAAGACATTCAGCAGAGGAAGTGATGTCAGCTTTCTGATTTAAATCAGAAGTGTGCTGCTTGTTTTCATCATTTCAGAAGTGAGGGAGAAAGAATATCAATTATAAACCAAGCTTTCCTATTCTATTCTATTCTATTCTACAGTCCATGGTTCTGTAAAGAAATAAAGTCACTTAAACCACACTATTGCAAAGAGGTTATGTAATTGAACTTAGAAATATGTCCGTGTAAGGAGACCTTAAATCAGCAGAACAAGAACATACAATACATTTTTAGGGTAATTTAGTGTCATTTAGGTTTGAGTGACTTTTTAAAAATTTCTTCTTCATGCTCTTTATAACTTTTTTTCAATATTGTCTGGCTGGTTTTATGGCTACTTCCATTTTCTCGATCCAAGTCCTCCCCCTACATTTTCTTCTTTTTTGATAATCAATTTCATCGCTATCTAAGTCCCCGCCCTATATTTTTGTTATTTTGCGATAATCTGTTTCAATCAGATGCATGGCACAATATGGAAATATCTGTCTCTGCTTTCATTACATTGCAACTTCAACTTATATTAAAGCATATTCTAACCCAGAATATTCCTGTAAAGTCTGTAGCAGCACAATACCAACTTTGCTTGACGTTTTCTTAAAGGGATAGTTCACCCAAAAATGAAAATTCTGTCATGAATTACTCACCCTCATGTCGTTCCAAACCCATAAAATCTTCGTTCATCTTCGTAACACAAATTAAGATATTTTTGATGAAATCCAAGAGCTTTCTGACCTTCCATAGACTGCAACACAACTACCACGTTCAAGGCCCAGAAAGGTAGTAAGGACATTATTAAAATAGTGTCAGACGACTGGCGTTCACAATAGTACCACGACGCATGCGTGTGCATTCCTCTGCTTGCAAACAAGGCACAGTAAATCCAGGTTCTTCAAGAAATTGTTGAATAAAGTAGTATTTTTTATTTCTTTGCGCACAAAAATAATTCTTGTAGCTTCATTAAATGAAGGTCAAACCACTGATGTCACATGGACTATTTTAACGATGTCTTTACTACCTTTCTGGGCCTTGAACGTGGTAGTTGCATTGCTGTCTATGGGAGGGTCAGAAAGCTCTTGGATTTCATCAAAAATATCTTCATTTGTGTTTTGAAGATGGATGAAGGTCTTACGGGTTTTGAAGGACATGATTATTAATGACTACATTTTAATTTTTGGGTGAACTATCCCTTTAAGAAAACGTCAAGCAAAGTTGGTATTGTGCTGCTATAGACTTTATAGGACTATTCTGGGTTAGAATATGCTTTAATATAAGTTGAATTTGCAATGTAATGGAAGCAGAGACAGCTATTTCCATATCGTGCCAATGACCGAATTTTCATTTTTGAGTGAACTACCCCTTTAATGAGGATAGAAAACAACAGTGTTCATAAAGTTATAAATATGTGTTTACTGTTGCAGTCGGCTACATCAGTAACTCCTGCGTGGATGTGGATTATGAAGAAGTGAAGCGGAAAATCCGTGGTCAAGCCGCACCCTCCTACCACCCTTCTGCAGTCCGGCCCATCAACCCAGAAGTATACGATGATATCGGCTCCAACGACCACCTGGACAGGTGAGACCCCAAGCCTCATGTTGAGGGCAGACAGAGGGTATTTTTTTATGATTTTAAAAGCTCACATTGTGTTTTTTTTCTGTTTTCGGCAGTTTTCACAGTGATGGTGAGTAAACGTATACAGCCTTTTACTTTCCGAGAGGTGATTTTTTTATTTTTCTGCACTGGAGTTATAAGTTTGTGCTCTGCTTCTCTCAGATTTATATGATGACGTGGACCGTGATGAGTTTCCTCCTCCTCCCCCAGAGATCAGGTGCCTCTCGTCTTTCTTCTCATCTCAGTTTTTCTTTTCATAACCAGAGTAACCAATATTTAATTTTACACAAATGAAAATGAGGCTACGAGGGATCAGATGTACAGTCTGTTTAGTGTGTTGTGAACTTTAGTGTTGATCACTGAGCTACAAAATACAAATATAAAACTTGAAATGATTTAGGGCATAGAACATCACTGCCTCATTTTCATTCATTTTATGTCAAATGAAATGTAACCTGACTAAAGGTGCGGTCACAATCACCATTGTTTGGCGGATTTTCGCAAGCGAACTCCAGTTATTTCAATAGAAATCAACACAGGTGGGAATTTCACTTGAAGGTGAACAATTTCCTCACACAGATTTTGCAGTGGGTTTTAGTTGGTCACACAGATTTGCCGTGTTAACCAACAGAAAGCTGCTTGGTTTAAAAGTGATCTCTGTGTGATTGATGCTTCATACATCACTATACCATTGACAGCAGACAATCAATGGACCAACAACATTTTGCTGAAATTTCACTAATGTGACCGCACCATAAGGTCTATGTGTGTTTTAAACCCAACAATCACACCAATTATGTAAACTTCCTTCTATTTGCTATTTTCGTCTCATATTGTACACACAAAAAGCTGCTGAAGTGTCTCTCTTCAGCTTCATGCGCTTTGAAGAAATGACAAACCGTCTAAATCATATTTGAACTGTGTTAATGGATAACTACCTGCAAAAGAAAAAGAGGGCTTTGTTTTAGCTTCTCTAACCTGGAGATTTTCTGTATTGACCATTAATCATGTAATAATCAAAATAGTATTTTCATGCAGTAAACATATATATCCTAATGTTTGACTTCATAACAAAATTGTAGTCGTTTACAATCTCTTTTTCTTTCGAAATGAGCATCACACCATAAATGGTATTTTTCTTTTTCATTTTCTGTGCACTGTAGTCAACACCACATATGTGAGAATTAATACCGTATGGTTTTGTTTAGCCACGATCCGATAAAGGCCAAGCAGCGGGAGAAAGATGAGAAAGATTTTCGAAAGAAGTTTAAGGTGAATCTGTCTTACTTTTGTCCGTTTGTATTATACAGATTAGCTTTGATTCTCGTTGATCATTGCCATGTCAGATATCCTAAACTGTAGTAAAAATATAACATATATGAAACTATTTAACAGTTTGAAGGGCCCATCCGAGTTCTGTACACCATGATGGTGGATCCTAATGCCAATCTGAAGAAGGGTGGGAGCAAGTACCTGGATGTGGTCCGTGAAGAGATTCTCGATGTTATACAGGAGACCAGCAAGAAGCATGTTCTTTGCCGTAATATACAGGGGAAATGTGAGTCACACACACACACCACCTGCTGGAAAATATATGCTATTGAAGCTTTGGCTTTTTTCTTTTCCAAAGCACTGAGAAATAAAGATCTCCTTTAATTTGTTTCAAATAAGTGTGTTAAAGTAGTATAAGTAAAAATAGAAGTATAAAATGATTTATTAGTATTAATAATCGTATGCTTTTTCTCATTGCAGTTGGATATGTACCTTTGAATTACCTTATGCATGAGTATGTATTCGTTTGAATTTTTAATTTAAATACAGTAATACAAGTAATTAATATTTGCTTAATATTTTGAAATGTTATCAAATGCTCTACTTCCATTTTCAGTGAGAATGAGGTTTATGATGACATTGATACTGCTTCAGGTACACACACACACACACACAATCTTATACGCATTTTATGGTTTCATCCCATCAAAAGAGGGTTTTATTTAGTTTTATTTGTATTATAATAGCACATTTGATTTATTGTTTGTTTGTTTGTTTGCTTACTGGCAGATATATATGACAATGATGACAGCTGACCTGCTTGAAGATGATGGTTATCATCCATGTAAAAGTGTTTTCACCTGAGAAAGCAAAAAGAGACTGAACACCATCGAATGAATGACTGACATAGTTTGAAGATGTTTGCTTTAGGAAAACTAAAGCTCAACGCTTTGTATATTGTAGAAATAAGTATTACGGAACATTATAATTATTAGAAATGTTATGATTGAAAGAATATTTTGTAAAGAATTTGACATTTGTAATTATCATAGTAATGTTTTTCTCTTTTTTTTTTGTTACATATGACAATCCAAATCTGTTCAAATGAAAAGAATTTGTTTGTTTGTTTGCTTGTGTTGAGGTTCGCTATTTACTTTTAAACGTGCTGTGTCAATAATGATGCTAGTCTTTTTTTTTCTTTTTCTTTACAAACACTTAAAATGCAATGCCACTGCCTGTTTTCTTTGCCAGCACACCCAACTATGATTGGCAGCTACTTAGCTAACGGAAGACTGCTGTCAAAAATATGAATTAAACTAGTTTAGAAAACAAAACACGCTTTTTATATGTTTAATATGTCTTAGGTTCTGCAAAGTAAAGGCACTACGTCACATCTTTCGTCTAGGAAATTTGCAAAAGAGCCTCTTCGCAGAGTTGAGTGTCTGCAGATGGAGAATTGGACTAAAATCATGCAGAATTCAGTCGAGTCATTCATAAATGCCTTAGAGTCATACAGAGAAAGAGATAAAGTGGTAAGTTTGTATTTACATGTATGTTATAGACAGCACGTCAATAATACACCCATTGTTTACATTAGGCTACATTAAATAGATATGGCTCAATACTCAATCTTCACATGTTTTCATGTGAATAACTAGTCAGGAATGCGTGTAATCTTCACTATTTGTACAACATTGTTTCATTTCAAGTCGGACATGACGAAAGAACTCATTCAGGATTCAATTTCTGAGTCGAATTAATTCTGTAAGTGCTCCGGCTGGTTTACAATTTTTTATTTTTTTTATATGCTTCCATTTACAGCAAACAAACAAGGTACATAAACACATCACATAATCTAACAACACGTGAACAGCCTTAGGTTGAGAATAACCAGTGATAAACAAGATCACAATAAACCAATAACATACTACTAGAGAGACTGGAAAACTGGGTCGGGCTTTCTGGGATGGTAATCAAATGGTTCAGGTCATACTTAGAAGGGAGAGGTTATTATGTGAGTATAGGAGAGCATAAGTCTAAGTGGACGTCCATGACATGCGGAGTCCCACAAGGCTCAATTCTTGCACCGCTCTTGTTTAGCCTGTATATGCTCCCACTAAGTCAAATAATGAGAAAGAACCAAATCGCCTATCACAGCTATGCTGATGATACCCAGATTTACCTAGCCTTATCTCCAAATGACCAGAGCCTCATTGACTCCCTCTGCCAGTGCATTGATGAAATTAACAGTTGGATGTGCGAGAACTTTCTTCAGTTAAACAAGGAAAAAACTGAAGTC